CACAGTTCTAATTCCATCATAAATTCATTTTAATAAGTTATTTAAAATAAGATAATTTTATAATAAAAATAATAAATGATATATACATACATTGAATAAAATAATAAAAATTTAATCACATAAATACATAAAATATATGTTTTGAACAATTAAAATAAACCGTGCATCACATGGGTTTCATCTAGTGAACATTAAAGCTAAATGTAACTGTAAAGAACAAAAATAAAAAATCAACAAATATAAGATATAAAACCAAATAAAATGAACCGAAAAATAACATAAGGTTGTAATAAACGGACATGAACTCCAAAAAAAGCAAAAAAATATAATTAACCTAGATAATTTGTCTAATATTCACGCATAAAAAAATGACCCCTATTGATATGAATGTATCACTCAAATCCAAATAACAATATATATATATATATATATATATATATATATATATAATTAATTTATTAAGTAAATTAATGGGTATATAATTTATTTATTTTTCACAAGATTAGAAAATAAATACATATGAGGTAAAAAAAATAAGTGACACCCGAGACAATGCCCGGACCTCACACTAGCTATACAAACAATCGAAAATAATTACAGATTAAAGAATTACAAACTAACAACCCGACCACCCGAGAAATCGTCCGGGCCACACACTAGTAATCTATATTCCTATACTAAAGTAGAGTTTTCCCAAAAAAAAAAAAAAAAAAAAAAAAAAAAAAAAAAAACTAAAGTAGAGTTTTTTTTAAGGGAATTTTTCCTCAAATCTTTTCTTTTTCTTCTTACACGAATTTCGCAGAATTATTATTAGCATGCCTAGATAATTATTTAATTATTTACTGTTATGATTGACTTTGGACTTACATAATTCATTCTAGAGACTTCTATACTTAAATTTCAATCATCATTAATTTTAAAAACCGAGCATGGCTCAAGAATTATCTAGCAAAATGACATTTAAGAAAGTTGAAAATCATTTAAAAAGAGTATTCCTAAAATTTCTTGCAAAGGTGTTAATGGTGGTAAAAATTGTTCAATGCGATGAAAAAGCATTTGTTTTGTGGTTTTTTTTCCTTTTTTTTTTTTTGTTTTTTTTTTTGTTTTTGATTGGTTGAGAAATTGACAATTTGCAAAAGATTCAAACATAATTTATATGTAACAAAGTTGTAGCTTAATCTAAAATCATATCATATCCATTCACTAATAAATAAAGTCGGTCTCGCAGCCATGCCACGAGATATCAACACTTGGCATTCCAATTTTTCGCCAAGTGTCGCGCCATGTAGGCGACAATTAAGTATTATTGTGACACTTATGATGCTAAGTAAGCGAATTATGGATAGGTTTTTCACGATAAAAATGTTGTATATAGTTTTATTATCAATATACTTCTAATATTTCATTTATACAAAATTAATATGAAATTTTTAAATGTCCAATGACTTCGTTCTATTTCCATTACAAAATTCGTTTTAAAAATTTCTTTAATATAAGATCCATTTATGATATATTTAATATAATTAAAAAATAATAGCGAATAAATAAAAATAATTTGCAATTAATAAAAGTAGTTTCAGTTTGGTAAAAATACCTTCAGTTTAGTAAAAATAATTTAAGTTCAATAAAAATAATTTCAAGTCTATAATAACTTAGATATCTATTTACAAACAAAATTACAAAAGGTACACTATTATATAAATATAAGCGACAAGAGATTTGTAAATTCTTTTAGAACTAAATAATTTAAATTCCACGTAAGCAAAATTGGAGAATGAGATTTTAAATTTTAAATTAATTAAACATAAAATACTATCTTTTGAGATTAGAAAATTTATCAAATATATAACAAATGAGAGGAAATTCACAATTTTTTTTAAAATGAAAATATAATGATATATTACGTACAACAAATAAAATAACAAATTTTATCACATAAATACAAAAAATATTTGTTTTAAAAAATACAAACAAAACCTGCATCGCACGGGCTTCATCTAGTTATAAAATAAAAACGAGTTGGACAATCGCACAGGCTTCATCTAGTTATAAAATAAAAACGAGTTGGACAATAGGCAAGTGAGAATAGAGAAAAAATATATGTAAATTATTCCTGAAGTAAACAAAAAAAAATGGATATTTGGACTTTTACAACCACAAAAAAAAAAAAAAAAAAAAAAATTGCCACCAAAACTTCTTAAAGTTTTATTTTACCACAAATAAAAGTTTTAAAAAATTGTTGTTCACCACCTCCCGTCAAGAGAACCATAAAACCTAATGGTTTAAATTTCTTCAATTCACATGCCAAAAAAATCTCTTTAGGGGATCAGGGGTCATTTTGGCACTTTGAATTCAATTTGAGGTCAAAATTGACAAAAAAAATTATTGCAAATGCCTCATTTTAATTTTGTCAAGCAAATCGAGGTTTTGTTAGTAGGCAATTCGAGGCATTTGCGATAAAGTTTTGTCAATTCTAACCTCAAATCGGACACAAAGAACCTAATAACATGTTTTTAACACGAAAATCTTAAAAAATTTAAAATTTTGTTAGATTTAATGGCTGTTGCAATTTTTATATTTTTTAAGTTTTATTTTTTATTTTTTTTTGTGGTATAATAATTTTTAAAAGTTTTGGTGATAAAAATCAATTTCGTGTTTTTTAGTGGTAGGAATAGTCCAAAAAACAAAAAAACAAAAAAATGTTGTAAGTGAAGAATTAATGCAAATAAGTGAAGTCCCCTAAACTAAAAGTTGAGAACTTGAGATCCTTGTTAGCAATTTTTAAATAGTTAGAGCTTAAAGCAGTCTCATTCATGGGCAAAAAAAAATGTCATTCTCTCTCTACACACTTTCTCACTCCTCTTTCCTACTTTTCCTCATGGCCATTTTATTTTTACAACTTCTCACACACTCATAGGCGAGGAAATACATGTTCATCAGCCTGATTTATCAAATTGGTAAATTAGGGGGCACATAAGACATTTCACTTATTTATTTGGGGGCAAGTTTGTACTTTCATCCCTTCTTCCTCCTCCATTACAATCTATCCCACTTTCTTCCTCCCTTCTTCATCCTCCATCACAGCAACGCCATCACGATGGTTAAAAATTATGTCGCAAAGAAGATGCTTCCCCTTAGGGTTACTAGGGTTTCATTTTGTTCCGCCGCAAAGCGGTGTTGAGGGCTTGAGGCCATATTATTATTGAGGAAGGAAGAAAAAGAGGAGGACGACAAGGGTTAGAAGAAGAGGACGACGGGAAGACGAATAGATCGGGGGCAATTGTGATGGATTTCAGGTGGTTGAGGTGGATGTGACGATGGTGGTGCGTGAAGAAAATGGTTTGTTTTAATTTTTTAAATGAAAAGAAAAATAAAAAAAAAAGTTAATTTTCAGTGAAACAAGGCCCACAACAATACTGATTAACAAATTTTTGTTGATCAGACTGATCAACTGGGGCGCTCCCCTCATGGGCTAAAAAAAAACCCACACCGTTCTCTCTCTTGCTTTTCTCTCTCCTACCCATTATTATCATCTAATTATTTACTCTAGATTACTCTCTCTCCTACACACTCACGACTCTTTTATATTAATTAGGACAGGTAACGCGTGCGATGCGCACGGCATAGCTAGCAACATCCAAAATCTCTTTTGATTTGGTCTTACATCCAAAAATTAAGTTATTGGCAAATTTAGTGAAAGAAAACATATAAACAAATAAATTTAGGGGTATAAATGTCCGCGCATTATTTTTAAAAGTTATTTAAAAAAAAATTAAAGAGGTAATTATCATTAATGAGGGTAAATAAGTAAATAAATATTTTAGATGATATAATTGTCCAAACAATATTCATTACAAAAACTTGTACACATTAATGAGGGTATTATAATTGGCATTACAATATATGTCGATACATATTTTAAAGAGTATAATTGGTATCACACTATTCATAAGAGTAATCTTGTATTTTTATAGCTGTTTCTTTTTTTTTTTTTTTTTAGAAAAATTATTTTATTTGCATGACCCACCGATCAACAATCACTGTAGCAATTTGATATGTCATTGTTATGGGCATTTAATCACTTCCTCATGGGTATTTTTTTTTATGCTCGTGAGTGGGAAGTAATATTTCCAAATTTTTAAAAAACATTCTCCTCATGGGCAAAAAAAAGGCCCATAAGTGAGAGTGCGCTTAGTGAGCTATATAGTTTCACCATTGTAGAGCTACAAGGGTTGTAGCTTTGTGAGCTATATAGTTCCACTACACCTAAAGCATGTGTTGTCTATTTTGAAAAATTAAATCACTTGTGATTTATTATTTTGCATTTAGTTTTCCTTTTTATTTATTTTTATTTTAGTAAGATAGATAAATAACATATGGGACCTACTAAGATTACAAAAGGTTATAGCGTATATTGATGTAATTTAAGAATGATGATATGGCAACTCAAAGCTACAAGATATGTAGCTATGCGATAACTTTGTTGTCTTTGCCACTGAAACCACCATGCATGTTCTGTATAAATGCGCTAGAGCAAGGTTAGTTTGGAACAGAAGAAAATTAAAAAGACGTGGATTTTTGAAAGAATCCAGACAAAGATCAAACAATCCATCTCATGGCCTTTCTGGTTTCCTTTTTATTCTTTGGGGTATCAAACCAAGGAGTTGTATTATACCAAGTCCTTATTCAAAGCCAAATGAACCTCCAAATTTAGGAGACATTAACATTAATGCGGATGTCAATCAACGTTGGAATAGTTTCAATCATGGGCATCTTCCTATGCACCAAAGCAACTATAACTAACGGAAGCTGAAATTCCCGATTTGATCAACTCCGTATTCTATTTTCAGACAAACATAAAATTGACCTAGTCAAGTACATATCTGTATTCTGAAATCTCACTTAATTGCCTACTACACCTGATACATTCCCATTCATTAAGCCTTCGAAAATAAGATTTTTTTTTTTTTATCAAGTACGAATTCCAAAACTGATGCATCTTTCATGACAAAGGCTCAATGAACTCTATTATTACTAGTAATTGCGTAAACATTCTCACAGGCACAAATGGACCTACACATCACCAATCACCATAATAACCATTTGCCAATCGCAATAAATTAAGGTCATTACAATGCCCATGGATAGGCCTGTGCAAATTCACAAGCCTACCTATTTGAAGGTATAATTAGCCTACTTTTCTTTCTACTCTCCCATTTACTAGCAAATTTCAATCCACATACAGGAACAGCAGTTCATTAATCACCCTTGCAGGATTTCGCATAAACTAAAAAAAAATAAAAATTAAAGGGGAACAAAAGAACCTCTCTTCAGCATTCCCACAAAATCAAGATAATGCCAAGTTGATCCAAGTAAACAGGCCATCTTTACCACATTTATCATAGATAGCAAGTTGCCAATTCTCAAGAGCTGGCAAAGTCGTGCCTCAACCTTATACTGCAACATTGATGATGGAGCTGCTTCCAAAGATTTGACACCTACTTGATTTCATTAACTAGAGCAGAAACAAATCACTGCATATCAGTAACAAAGTGTCATAACTATACTTCAGAAAGGGGATATCTAAACAACTTCAGCAATTACCAGAACAATGAGCCAAATCTAAATTTGACAGCCAATATTCACGCCTACTTATTTTTTTTGAAAGAACACTCACGCCTACTTTGACAACCAACTATATGAAATTATTCTTAATTTACATAGGTATAAAAAGAAAAAGAAAATAAAATTATTTCTTGATTACCATTTTGAAGATTTTTATGATTATCAAAGAAATCATTTTGAAGATTTTTTATGATTATCAAAGAAATATTTTGGTCAAAATATTGACATCTGAACACAAAAAATAAACATTTTTACACTAACAATCTCTATTATATAAGCCAAGGGGGGCTCTGGTGTCCACCTAAAAAGACATTAATACCCCTCTTGGCTTACTACAATATTGAATATAAATGGCAAAAATAAAAAAATCTACCCCGTCATCTTCTATTTTCAATCAAGTAACTTTCTAAATCATATACTCCGTAATTTTATAAATTTCCATTTAGTGATTTTAACAAATCGATTAAATAAAAATTTCCTAATTACAACAAAATTACATTCTTCATTTATCAATCTTTTCATCTATTTACTCCTGAAAATATTCCTATGAATCTAATTGTTTCACTCTTTTCATGCATAAAGTATCCACATTCTCTTCTTTTACTTGCAGTATCTCACGTATTCTTTTTATTCTTCTTTTGTGTATATGTTACATTTAATTAATAAAGAATTGATCAAACGTTATTGTTGGCTATATTCCATTTGATAATAATTATCATACAATTGGTTTGTTTATTATATCTTTTGTTTTAGCTTAAATTTTTCAACATATTGAACCATCTATTTTTAACTCATTAGATTTTTATATTTGAATATTATTTTAAGACTAATGATGTCAATTATTCTAATTAATGTAGTATGCACGCATCGTGCATCGAAAAGCCAGTAGTATATGTCACAGCCACAGTTCAATAATGTTACATCTAAGATTCTTGCATAGATGGATCAACCAGAACTCCAGATAACAAGAACCCTATGGATGATATTACAAGGGGATCCCAAATTTTTACCACAAATTATTTCATTCAACAGGGGGCATGATGCGCGAAAGAACATACAGTTCAAAGGGAGATCATATCTCATCTCATCTCATCTTTGTTCATAAAAAAAACCTACAGTTCAAAATAAAAGAATATACTGACCAAAATAAATAAACATTCCTATCATTAACATGGAAGTATGATAAAAAGAAATGCAAGTATAATGAACCGAGAATCAACCTGTATGGTAACCCAAGTTGTTTTATAAAGGTATTTTATATTGCTAAACAGGACAAATAGAGGCTTACCTAAAATCACATGGATGGTTGGAGTTTCTCAAACTTGCTTTCTATGACGACCTTTTTTCGAGTTTCAAAATCCACTTTATCTAGGTCAGAGGCTAGAGCAAGATATCCATACAGTATTCTCCTCCTTTCACCTGTCCTCTGATCTACCATCACAAGATTTGGATTGCTCTCCTCATTTTTATCAGTAGTAATCGATTGTACACGGGCCCAATCTCTACGCCCATGGTGATCCTTCTCAAAGTGGTCAGCCAATCGCATGGCCTCCTTCAGGCCTGACTGGTCACTTGCAAACTTAATAAGAGTAATGCCCAGATGACCATCTCTACTGTACAAGGACTTCGACTTGCCACCAGAGAAGCCAAGATCTGTATAGAGGCAGTAAACCATTAACAAATATGATATAACAATTTGCCAAATGTTGTGTACATGTCAAAGTTCAAGCTAACAGGTTATAAATTGTATCAAATAAAAGGTCAATAATGTTAGAGCAGACAGCATACCACATTGAAACAGTAGGCCATTACCAGAAAACAGTCTACATGTTAAGTTCTTAAAGGTAGGGGCGTGCACTACTTGATTAACACAAATACATAGGTAGGCTATATGGAGAATCATAATTGATTACGGGAAGTAACGATGTAAGTACGCTAGTGTACATTTTTGCTTTAACCAATTCCATCAATGTTCTTTTAATACCAAAAATCAGCTGTATAAGTTTGTAATAGAAAGCTATCAAAGTCCACAAAAATACTACTTGGGGCATTATATGCAAATGCATGTCATCTTTTAACTGTATTTGCCTATGATAAAGCCAAATAGGGCTTCAATTTTTATAAAAAGAACGCAAGGAAAATAAATCTGAGGTGTTCTACAAATTGACCACCACAAACCAAACCTAAAGCAGAAACCATACACAGCTGCTACTGCACCCAGGAATTAGCAGCGTTCAGCAAATTGCATCTCATTAAAAAAAAAAAATATTAACCAATTTGAAGCCAGCAGCACAAACAAAAGTTCTATGTGAGTGCCATGGACACAGGACCAAGTTATTAGAATCATAAAACTGGATTAATGTTACAACAGGCATAAATGTAATAGAATCACATGATCCATTACACATTATAGAGGAAGCAAGATACTGGCCAACTATGATCAAATCAACAACAAAACGAATTTTAAAAAGTTTAATAAAATGATCAAACTAGCAGGCATGAAAAGTATTTAAATAAGGTATAACAATGCATTAAACTTGCTAACTAACTGTCCAAAGGATCACTAGCAAACTAACTGTCCAAAGGATCATTTGCTGACTAACTGTCCAAAGGATCACTTGCAAACTAACTGTCCAAAGTATCCAATTTCAACCTCATACTCGGAATTCCAGCTACAAGATTCTAACAGACACTAAATAGAGATTTGAATGACTATCAGTCCCATGAAGAGCTGGTGGTTAATACATAAAAGAAGTATAAGGGAAATAATTAGGAATGAGTTATGTTACTAGAACTTTCAATTCACCTCAAGTCCCGTGTTGGACCCTAGAAACTTGAACATGGGTAGGACACTTGGACAAATTTAGACTAAAATCCTGGAAAAAAAATTCACAAATAACCAAGTTGAGGATCCTGATGCTCTTTCAACTAATATGTCGAAGCACTTGGACATGTATCCGTGTCGGACATGGGCACCCTAGTCCAAGTAACAAGGAGAGATTTCCTACATGTTTCCACCTGAGCAAATCATAGCTCACAAACTACAGCATTGTGACTTGCAATAAAGCTCATCTAAAAATAAAAAACATTTAACAGATGTTGTCCACCCAATACCAAAAACCATCCCTGCAACCAACACACCCAAAAAGGAAGATTTTAAAGGGAATAGTTGCAGTTATAGGCTTGTAGCTTCTAGCAGAAAACTATGATACCAATAGCTAGGCCTATTTGTGTATTAGGCATGACATTGGACTGGAAGTCCGAAACCATAAAGGTAGGCGACTTTACGATTCTAATTAGCATGATAACAGATTCTCTTCACCAAAATATATATAAAAAAAGGCCTGCAGAATCATAAGATCACCTAAAGACTAAAGGTGGAATAGATTCCAATAAAAAAATTTAGTTTCAGCTTTAGCACAAACACAGCACATAAACAAACATAACACAGCAACAAAAGAGAGACCTTAGGGTGTGTTTCAAGAAAGCTTAAACACAAAAAATTAGAATGTCGCCAGCAGCCCAGCAGTAGGTGAGTAAAAAAAAAAGGGAAATAATTGACACTCGTGCAAGAAAGGAACACAAACTTAATATACCACATTACAGATAGAACAACATATATGAAAGATACATGTCCAATTTAACTTCCATCAGAAAAAAATAAAAACTAAAAAATAAAGATAGCTACTTATCAGACGAATATATCTGTACAAAAGTGCACTGTATCCACTAAAGAAAGTCTCAAAGTTTAAACTATCGGAGCTCCCCCTTTATACAAATCTGGTTATGTCTTGGAGCTATCACCAGCTTTAATGAGACTGAGCCATCTTAATTCCACTTAGAAACCACTTGCTCATGCATATCCCTAGCTAACTTTGCACCTATACTGATCGCCAACAAAATTCAAAATATATGAACGGCCAGTTTTCAATACAGAATGAAGACCTCAAGCAATTACCAAAGATAAGCCTTGTTGCAATCTTTTTTTGTTACTAAGATGATAGCTTGCAACAGGCCAAACAACTTGCAGGAAAGCTAACTCTATACCCAACCCCCACAACTAAGGAGAGACAGCCAAAAGTATACTCACAGTAACTCACCCTCAGGGACATCAATAATAATACTCTAACCATCGATGACCCTGTTGTAATAGGAAAAGGCAACCCATCCATGCCTTCAAGTTACATAAATTTATAGCCTAACAGCCTATATGATAAATAGGTGTAAGTTCTATTCTCTCGGTTTCTCAGAATGAAGACACAAATCCAAAAGTGATCCATTACTTCATATAATTACAATCAGATCACTCACACACAATTGAGTATTGAGACCTAAAGATGCCTCAAATTAATCAGTTTTCTCATGTTGTCAATAAGGAATGCAAATTGTAACAGTATTGTGACCCAAATTGTAACAGTATTGTGACCCAAACAACAGAATGACCAAGGAGTGTAAGAACAACAAAGAAAACATGAGGTACAGGACTAATAAAATGAATCAAAATTATCTAATATAATCATGAAACAGACAGAACTCGCAAGTCGCAATCAGAACAATGAACAATCCACTAATCCAGATGAGACTTCAATTATCCAACTCAAGGCAACACAGAGTAGCTACAATTAAGCCAGTCACAACCCTTTCACACACCCCCACCCCACCAAAAAAGATGGAAACTGGGGGATGGATAGGAAAATACAGAGTAAGCACTGAAGTCTGGCAATAGGGAAAGGAAGATGGGAGAGAACAAACCCACAGTTTTGATAAGTTAAATCAGTTGCCACTCTTGCCAGCCATCAAAAAGGAAATCCAACCTCCAAGTTGAACTTTATTCATGACTAAAAAAAACCTAAGCATTTCAACTTGATTTCATATTCACTTTATAGAACCAAAATTTCTCTCAAGCAATATGTCTTACGCAAAATCCAATAATTAACTCGCTTTTAACAGAGAGTGTTGGTGAGTTGGTAACAGGAAGGGAAACAGAGAGGGTTATATTTCTGCACAAAGGATCAGAAACATACACCAGAGTCGATGGACAACAGCATTAACAAAGAATATGCCCACTGACTAGTAGTAATAAACCAAAAGGGGAAAAGGGGACCGGGGGGGGGGGGGTGGTGGGGTTCAGTGATAGTTTTGGAGGTAAAAAAAAAAATGAAAAAAAAAAAAAAACAGACCAACCTCTAGTCTTATGATGACTAAAAAGGAAAATGAAATTTGTTACAAAGAAGACACTAGAACAGAAGGTAGTCCTCGACATCCTATAACAAAGAAAGATCCCAAAAAACTCCAACATGCTGAAAGAGAACAGACAACATTTACTGCTGACTGCTGAGTTTGGTTTTAAAAGTGCTAGTTGTAAACCAGTGAGAGATACTGCACCCAGATAGAACATGTCATTAATATATCTTGTCACATGTAAATATTTCAAGGAATCCAGCTTCCGTGTTGCAAATTAATTAGAACAGTAGATAGAATTAAAGTTGAATGTAGGTATAGCGCACAAACATAGTGAATTCCTTAAATGGATATTAAAGGGGTTGAGAATATAACAACCCCCCCTCCCCCCCCCCCCCCCCCCCGGGGACTAGTAACTAAAATCCTTTTTCATAAACAAGGAAATTTAATACTCTATCCCCAAATAAGTCACATTAGCCTAAAGCACAAGTTTTTAGGGAGGTGAAAAATAAAAAGATAGTGGAGTTTGATTCATTAAAAAGGGTTTGGAAGATTAAAAGTGTGTGTGAATAATAACTTTTTTTTAAAAAAAAAAGGTAGTGGAGTTTAGTAGGTTGAAAGTGAATTTAAAGAAAATGTATAAACGTGAATTGGGACTTTTATTTAGGGGCAAGTTTTGGGTGCAATGAGACTTAATTTCGGGACAAAGGGAGTATGAAGTTCTAAAAAAACATAAAATTGATATCAAATACCTGAAATCCTTTTTCAAATTAGTATCAGCTAACACGTAGCCACTAATTAGTACTTACAAAAAAGATTCCAAAAGAAGAAACCTACTCTAGAGCTTCTTGATTTGAACTCTTATGAAACTCTTCAGACCATCAAATCTAAGGTGTAATAAGAAACTAAGAGCAATATGCCCTGTTGGGAGCTGTAATGGTCATAAATCCTTATTGCATTCTTAGCATACTTTAATAACACTAATATTTGCATTCTTTGGCAATTCAAATCCTAAATAAAACCTGATATTATAATTGATTGACTAATCAACCGACATAAAGAATGGCGAGTCCTCGAGGAGGATGCTGTTAAGAATAGCAACTAGAAGCAGGAAGAATTAACACCCACCCAACATGATAAATTTTCAAAGAAACTAGCTATTGGTTTTCCAGGTTGGTATTTTGTTTCTTCATCAATTAACACAACGGTAAGACAATAGATGTGCAACAGCAGAATTAGACGCCCAGCATAAAAAATCAGCTTCAAATTCTGCAGAGTTTTCTCCATAGTTAAAAAGTGCTCAAATCACCCCTTGTTTTCTCACACTAGCACTTAAAACTCAAACTCATACACACAAAAAATACATATTGGATGAAAATTTCTTCTAAACAGGTCATTAAGTTTATCTATGAGCTCAGAAGTATGTAATATACACTGCAGTCAAGATTATACAGACCATCTCTAATCTAATATCTGCTTATGAAATCCAAATGTACATAATAGCAATAGAGGGTTCAGCAAAAGAAATGATGGAAGCTCTGGCATATGCAGAGGTAGAGCAAGAAAGCTTCTGTCAAAAGGAATTGGAATGAAACTATTAAACATCTCTCTATCAATAGAGGGGAAGAGGAGAAGGGAAAGGGAGGGGAGGGAAGAATTATGAGTTTTCCTTCAAAATCTCTCCGTCATTGGAGAGATCAATTTCTTACAATTTAATCCCTCCATTTGTCTCCCCTCCAATTCCCCTCCTTCCTCATTTGTTATCCAAATGAAAGAAATTCAGTCCCTCCATCTCCCTTCTCTTCCTTTCCCTCCATTTCTTTCAATCCAAAGACAAGAGTGAATAAGACTTTTCGCAATAATATTCTGGACAATGAGAACCCTGAAGTAACTGTTAAAAGATAACAAAAATTTAGCTTCTCAGTAAAATGAAAGTGAGAATGCCAGCCATCAACAAAGAAGAGTATATAACCCAGAAAGGTAATATCTGGATTTCAAACGTAGTAAATCTAGGTCTCCAGTATATCACTATAGTATAGATCTCATGGATTTAGTAATTAAGGTTACTCATGTATGTCAATATAGCAAAGCACAAAAGTGGATAAGTTATAGCATCCATATTCTATTTAGTAAGCTGAGGGCAATACCTCTAAGTTTACTATCCATTGCCTTATTTCCCAAACCCTCCATACGGCCATCTTTACCCTTGCCGGTATTTGTGTTATTAATAATCACCATGGGTGGCCACATGATCAAGTCATCTTGGTATGCAGCCGCTTCTTCGGCAGGCATATGTTGATAGGCCCTGGAAGAATCAGGAGGCCTCATAAAACTCCACCCCATTATGGCACAGAGAGCTTTGTGCAAGCCCAGGTGATCCACTCGCAAATCAGCATTATCTGAATTGTAAGTATGCATAACAAGAGCATGCATATCTGGAAACTCTTTTGAAGACCTGTAATTTTCAATACCAAGAGAGTCGGACAATGCATAGCTAAAGTTTTTCAGACATAAAATTAGTTCAGATACATTCGAGGAAAGATAAAGTTCAATATATACAGGCATACAGCCCAACAACACCAATTTTAATTTTAGCTGGTGTAGGCCAATTCAGGCAAGTAGACACTGAGTCAATAAGAAGTTACTTTTTCTTCTTTTTTTTAATATAAAGCTAAATATATGTCAAAAGTCCCACTTTACTACAAACTAAAAGTCTACTAGTAGGTTCGTGAAAACCCTACAAGGTAAACTTCAGAAACAATTTAACTAGCTAATTTGTATTTTAAACTAGAATAATACTAGATGCTCACAGCAATGACTGACATAACAAAAGCAACACATCATAGATTCATAGGTTGCATCTCTAGTATACTGCCATAGCAAATGACTAAAATGCAAGAAGCATAAGTATAGATATCTCCTCAATAGACACAAAAGAAACCTCACTTAATAGAGTTGGGAATATGCTCCTCAAAACAGCAAACGAAAACCAGGGCTTCATTGCCACTTAGCAAGGTTGGTCATCCAAATTACAATGCTACTATTGAATACATAAGATTGAATATGAGCGATAAAAAGAACATACAAAATCGACAGCCAAGTTTCATATCAATCAAAAGACCTACAGAAATAAGTAATTTCACATAATTACAGCAACCCAGTGAAATGAAGTTGAAGACAAAAGTACAAAACCCCTTATCACCATAAGGTTGATGACCTCAAATGGTCTAAAATACATCTCTTCTCTTGATATGCAGATAAATCAATAAGAGAAATGACAGGAACATATAATCAACAGTCAAGCCTACAGTCAACGAAAAGACCAGGAGAATGAACCTAATTCACATCAACAAACTACAACAATCATCACAAACTGCTTAGCATCTATGGAAGACCCTCTTTCCAAACAATATATATATATATATATATATATATATATATATATATATATATATATATATATATATATATATATATATATATACTTCCTCCGTTCTAGAAATATTGCATTCGTTTGTAACTATTGACACAATCTTCTTCAACCACATATTGTGCTTAATACATAAAGAAAAATATAGCCATGTGGGGTCTTGTTAGGTTCATCTCGGTACATCACATAAAATCAACTTTATATAATTTTTACTCTTACATAACTAAAGATTTTAAGGTTTAAAATGTGAATTAGGATGCATAAATCTCCTTCATGGTGTAAATAATAGCAGAACAAAGGAAGTATTAAAAATAAATAAAACCCACATCAATGCCTGGGTAAAGCGCATTTTAACTCTACTGCCAATTACATTAGATCCTTACATAATGAAAATGTAGTAACAATTGCATTAGTAACAGTTGCGAAACCAATGCAAGCAATTTAATATAAGATCAGCTTTTCTGGCAAGCAGAGAAGAAGCGAGTCTACATAGAAAAATACTACAAACATCAAAGGTGGTCATCCAAACATATAAATAAACGCAAGATCCTTCAAACCAAGGGCATGCAAAAGTTCAGATTTTAAAATTGTGGGCAGATCAAATGAGGGTACAAGAAGTATACTTCAGGAGCCATCATTATAACAAGACATCAGACTCAACAAAATCTGCAGCTCCAATAACCACAGTTGCAAACATCATTAAAACAAATATAATTATATAAGTATTTGCAAACTATGCCAACCACCTGCTAAATTAAAGGCATGCTGGTCAGTCAAGTTAAGAGCCACAATTATACAATACACGAAATGCCCAACCACATGCTCACAAATAGTGATGAGAGGCCCTATATTAATCCTCTTTTGTAGGATGATGACTTTTAGCAATCTAACCTCTCCATCCTCCCACTTAACGCCAACTGCAGGTATTATATGCCTTTTCACAACCTTTGTTCTTCCATTTTCATCTTTTTGAAAGCCCAAACTCATTCTTATGGAATTTCCATTGTTCACTGAGAGACCAAGAAGATGAGAAGGCTGTGAAAATAGCAATCCGTAAAAAGATTTGGAGCCCTAGATAACATCACTACAATGACAATTCACTGCCCAATTAAAGACCTCCTTCCTAGACTCTAAAACTCTAAAAGCCTATTTCTCTACCTCCCATCTACAATAAGATGGATTATATGCGTACCTTCAACCACCAAATTATCTGCAATAAATTTCGCAACACCCTAGATATTTTTCTCCTTAAAATTTACCCCCTCTCTCCCTCCCCCCACAAATAAAAATAAATAAATAAAACCTCCAAAATATATTGGGATTGTTAACTTAAATCAATCCCAATCCAATAGAATCCATATAATTCCAATTCCACACTCTTACCTAGCAATTAATCAAAATATTGATTAAATCAGTTTGCATTTGCAATTCCAGATTCTTTGTTGCAGGCTTGCAGCCTAAACAACTCACCTTGAACATAGCCAACTTGAATTCCTACTAACACTTGGTACCCCAATCAATTCACATTGATCTTGGCATCAATATTTCTTGATTCATCATCCAACCTCAATTTGGGTGCCTAAGATTCTAATATTCTTGTCAGCAAGGTGTTAACAGAAACCGGCATGAAAGAGATAAACCCAGTGACAAAGGCACTAACTCTGTTGCCCTTGATCACAATTACACCATCCAAAATCAGCCAGCATAATTTTTAGCAAGTATGCAGAGAGAAAAAGAATAAATCTTCAGTTAGATTAGTAGGAGAAGCAACAAGACAATTATAAGAGTGTCATACTTGTACAATGGTACAAACCAACAAACTAAAAAATATTATATAGATTAGTACAGAGCCCAACCAACCAAAACATTTAAGCACAGATAATGTTAGCATATGAACATTAAAATGACAAATAATGACCACTGGTAAAGCTGCAGAAATTGTAAGAGGAACATCTTCAATCAACCATAATTGACTAAGTTTGACCTTCAAGCCTTGTTGAAAGCTAAAGGAGCTATGCTCAAATTACCTAAAATGCTGACAACATTAATCATGATGATCTACTATGATTCAAAATACTTCAAAGTCAAACTAACAACTTCAAAGTCAAACTAGAAATCAGTAGTTAACAACAACAACAACATAAATCAGCTATCATGAATCATCTAACATGATTTGGTGCCGGCTAACATGAATCATCTTAAGGTACTGTCTGATATTAAAAAAAAATATAAAAAAAAAATAAAAAAAAAAGGACATAACAAGATAACCAGTTGAAAAAGTTTGAAAAAAGGTAGGTAAAGTGAGCAAAAGAAAGAGCATCCAAGTAAAATTTAAGAGTTGTAAAAGGATACCAAGAATAAACTTTAAGAAAGTTTTAAGGGAGTGGTAAAAACGTGCAAGTAAAATACAAAATGGTTTAAGAAAACTTTAGTAAGTTTAATAAAATAAGTACAAAAAAGAAACATGTTTCTACACACATTTTTTGATAAGTTCAAACATAATAAGTTTGACAAATAAGTTTAGATAAGTTCGGATAAAATAACTTAAGTTCATACAAATATAAGTTCAAATAAAATAAGATAAGGTCAGATGATATAATTTTAAACAAAATTAGATTAACCAAACAGAGTCTAATTTAGAAAAAGAAGCTGAAACAATTTTAAAACAAAGAACTAATTAAAAAAGAATTTTTTAAGAAATCGTAACAATGTCAAATCAAAAAGGCAGAACCCCGCTCCCCTATGAAAAAAGAGACTTACATAATGAAATTAAATGACCACTTCCCTACTTTTTATGAAAGGTTACTTGGATTTACATCTTTGTTACATCATAATATCAAAAGCAGTAAAAGATATTAAGTATGTTCTGACAGCCATTCTTTTCACCATAAAATAAGGGCCAATAGGAATGGGTGAGTTCATGAAAGAGCTACCAAGTTCACTTTAGCTGATATAAGTTCAAATATGATAGGAGCGAATAAGATGAAAACAACCTACTCATCTGAACTCTTTACTTTTAAATAAAAAAATAATGAAAGAAAAAGAATGAAATGGAGGAGATGAGAAGAGAGAATCAGCAAAGAGGCAATCCTCAGAGAAGAACCAAAAAGAGGCAGAATGAAGGAAAAAAAATATTAAAGAGAGATAATTTTAAGCAAAGTGAGGAGGAAAAAAATGAAGAGAGAAAAGCTAACATGCTTTCACACCCACATGGAGCAATATTCCAATGAGAGTATGAAGCTTGCATATGGTGGGGTTTTTTAACTAATATTTTTGAGTTTTAGGTGTTTGGGTGGGGAGAGGGAAGATCGTGTCAAGGAGTGTCTCCAAAGCTAGGTCAGCACCCTAAGCAACACCTCTAAATTAAAATATCAAACCTTAATAATAAAGGCAAAATATTTTGTTGTAATATATTTTAAGTATCAAAAGCGAGTGATCTAGTTATAGATGGTGCATGCTAAGGGTAAGTCACAAGGCTTCAATGAGGGATAAATAAAAGATCAAAGGAAAAATAAAAGAGGAACAAAGTGTCTTTGCCAATGTAGTACACAGGAAACAGTAAGAATGTAGTAACACACAGCAGTCACCAAGGAAGCTAAATTAACACCCTTTGGCGCCAACTACGAAGCAACTTGAATTGCATAGCACTTTTAGTGAATTGGGATAACTCAAACACATGCATTCACGAGCGTTAATCTTCCACCAAATCATGGAATCAGATTATTCAATAAACTACTCCCTCCATCCCAGTTTCATGTGCCCAATTTTCAGGGCACGAAGTTTTAGAACATACATCAACTGTTATTATAATTAAAAAGGTAGATGTAATGGGAGATTGAGCGGTAATATATTGGGGGGGGGGGGGAGTGGGTGGGGGTGGACTGTGTTAGAACGGATGAAGAAGGGCAGTGGTCAAAAGGGACAAATGGAGTAACGGATTGACAAGTAGAGTGAGTCTCCATTTTGTACAAGCAATATTCAACTTTGAAGTCAATAAAAGAAATTGACAATTAAAAAGAATAATAACAATGGGAAATAGTACAATAAAGTGCTTTATGAAACAACAAGGATAGTGGATTATAAAAGAAAATGGAGGGCTTGGGTGAATGCGGCACGAAATATGACATGGTGCAATAAATGTATAAAATAACATAGAACATAACAGAAATAAATAGCACTAAAATAGGTAGCTCTCCGAATTGAATAACAAATAACAACTATCTAGTTTTGGCATGAGGATACTTTGGCATCTAGGCTCCTTCAGAATGACACATTGATTTGTGTTAGGTCATAAGTAAAATATAGATTTAATAGAAGGGTGGGTATACACATTACTTGAAAAATGTCACATATAGCTGTCATAACAGTCATAAGACCTCACAAAACTAGTCAAAATCAAACAAACAAACCCAAGTGCTTGACAAAGCATGTGGTTCCAAGGAACATTTACTAAATACATGTAAACAACACAATCAAATGTCATTTTTATGGGATTGTACAAAGTTATTACTTAGTTGAAAGCCAAGTTGTCACTTTTCAGTATGAGATGTTCTAATAAATGCATGTCAATGTTAGACAAATAGCACCATCTCAAATATACAAGCGGATGCCTTCAATATAAAGCAAACCTCCCCAAATATTGCACACAAGCTACAGCATTGGGCAAAGAACAAAATGATGGCAATCAAAGATCAATCAGATTAGAGCTTTGTGCTTTATTGCAACCAATATAAATATACACTTTGCAGCCAAACTATAACTAGCCAATATAAGTATCAATAAACGGCACATACCAAGAGCTCTATCATAACACTCCCGTGGCCGCTCTCCATGTAAGCCACCCAGACTTAATCCAAACGTGGCCCACGGGATTAAGTCGGGGTGGCTTAAATGGAGAGCGGCCACGAGAGTGTTATGTGAACGAAGCATTCCTTACAGTTGAAGGGAAAATTCTCACGACTGCCATAAGACCAGTGTTGCTCAACACTCTATAATGTTGGGCTTCTAAGAAGGAGCACATTAAAAAGATGGAGGTTACGGAAATGCGCATGAGAAGGTAGATGGATGGAAACACTCTAAGAGATAGAATTAGAAATGAGGATATTCGCAAAAAAGAAGGTGTGGCAAGCATTGCAGACAAACTAAGGGAAAATCGCTTGCGTTGTTTTAGGCATGTAAGACAAAGACATGAGGGTGCACCGGTATAAAGAGTGGAAAAGTGGGACCATGGAGGGGTTAAACGAGAAAGAGGGAGACCGAAAATGATTTGGTTGAAAGGAGTTAGGAAGGATATGAAATATATGGATTTGCATGAGGATGAGGCATTGGATCGTAAGGGATGGAGGAGGAAGATTTTTGTCGATGACTACCCGGAATAATCAAATTTGGTTCATGTAGCTGACCCCACTTATGGGATTAAGGCTTTGATTGATTACTTGATTGCCCTAAACACAAGAGCTTTACTAACCGATAATATCACGCCAAAGTAAGAACAAATCTTAGAAAAATCAAATCCTCTAATGTGAGCCAAATTGCTTGGAGGTAAATTTCCTCACTGTAATACCTTATAATCTATCATCTAAATTGCACTTATACACATATGGACAGAGGGTACAAAAACAATAGATACATAAAAGCAAAATCCTACAATAAAGACAAACACAGCTATATACTACATGTTTATGCCCGAGTCGGTTCAACACATGTATGAGCATAACTTATTCACATATAATCTCATGCCATTCAAGCAGTAAGAATATAAAGTAATGTACTATCTAATCACACATTCAATAGAACTTCAAATTATACCCACAAAACATAGATAAATTAAAGCATAAAGAGTTGTTTCCAATCAAACCTGCCACAGACGAGGCATTGAAGATGCTTGCCATTCTCTAAGTAATTCTTTTTCTGATTAGGATTCTCATAAATCAACTTAATAAAATGAAGATATGCCTTCATAATAGGAGGATCAATCTGAACTTCCTGCCTCGAACCCACATTATTACTACCACCACCACTATCAAACCCAGCACCAGCCCTCATAATCTTGGAATTTCGAAACTCATCGTCACGTCTAAAGGGACTACTAGTACCCGAACCCAAATTGGCACCGGCACCGGCATTGCCATACTGCAAGAGCTGCTGCTTCTGCCTGGCAAACTCATCCCCATCTCTATCTCTATCTCTCTCCTCCCCAAAACCAAACTTCCTCTTCATTGACATAGAATTAGACCCAAAGGGATGATCCTCCCTACCGCGAAAACCATCTGGGCTCATCGGCCCCACCCGGCCCAACTCATGAGGCGGCCCAAAACGCCCAATTGGGGGTCTAGGAGGTGGGGTGAAATCTTGGTAATCAGGAGGCAAAGCGAAGTAGGATCGAACACTGCCGTCAGCAAGAACAATGGTGCGACGATCAAGCATGTGGAACCCATAAGTAGGAGGCGGCAGAGGAGGTGGAGGACCGACGGAAGACGGGAAAGGTGAGCTGCGTTTTGGGGTGGGTTTATCAGAGGACGACCTTGTTGCGGCGTTGTTGGTGTCGCTGGGGGGTTTGGCGTTGCTGGGAGAGGGTTTTGATGGGGTTCCCGAGGTGGGATTTGCGGCGGAGGTGGTGGTGGTGGTGGTGGGGGTGGCGGAGGAAGAAGATTGCCAGCGAGATTTGCGTTCGGAGGAAGGAGGAGGACGGTTGGTGGTGGTGGTGGATGATGATTTGGGGTTGTTACCCGCCATGTTTGTTAGGGTTTCAACAATGAAGCCTGATTTTGTTCAGGCTGGGCTCTCTAATGTGACTGCTATGTGTTATATTCTTCCTACTTCATGCTTCCATATACGGAATACCGAAGTTTCTTCTGAATAAACGTCGGGATATTAAGAATTTGTTTGTTTCGATCGAAACATTTTTTTAAAAGATTATTTTTTATTTTTTATTATTTGATTAGTAAATAGTAAAGGGAAGGAAAACAATTTTTTTTTAAGGAAAACTAGTTTTTATGCTTAGGTGATAACTCGAGTTACTACATTATCTCTATGATAAAAATCTTTATTAATATTTAATTTTTATTGAATGTCATGTAATCTAATATAATATCATATCATATTATTCATATCATATCATATCACTTCACTAATAAATAAAGCCGGTCTCGCAGGTAGACCACGAGACAGCGACACTTGGCATTCTAATTTTTCTCAAAGTGTCGAGTCACATAGGCGAAAACTAGGTATCATTGTGACCCATAAAATACTAAGTAAGCGAATTTTGGATAGATTTTTTAAGATAAAATTGTTGTATAGAGTTTTATTGTCGATATACTTCTAATATTCATATATACAAAATTATTCATAACTTTTAATAAAAATCTAATAACTCGGTTCTATTTCCATTATAAAATTCGTTTTAAAAAGTTATTTAAAATAAGATCCATTTATAATATATTTAAAATAATAGAGTATTAGTAAAAATAAGTTTTAATCGATAAAAATATTTTTAGTTTAATAAAATTAATTTAAGTATGATATTGCATGTCTAAATATCCTGCGTTATCAAAAGTGATTATATAACCATATTTAACATTCAAGCCAAAGTTTATCCTAAAATTCAATAAACAACCTGGCATCGACCGGGGCACAAAACTCATAGGCGACAAATAAGTATTATTGTGACACGTATGATGCTAAGTAAGCGATTTTTGGATAGATTTTTGGAAAAATTCATGGGAATAATCCCACTTTTAGGCCATTCTTTTTTAATAATCCCACCTTTTAATTATTATTTAATAATCCGACCTTTGGGTGCCTTTCATTTTTATTGGTCCCATTTGACCAGAAACCGATTGAAGAGGTAATTTTTTTATTTTTTTTCTTTGGTTTAAAATACACGTGTCATTACATAATTGGTAAAAAAAAAACAAAAAAAAATTGAAAAACCCAAACCCAATTCAGCCACCAGCCCACCACCACCCAAACCCAAACCCTGGAACCACCATCCCCACCAGACCCGAACCCCAAAACCACCCCACCAGCCTCCCCTCCTTCCCCCGCCCCGATTCCGACCACCCAACACCGGCGCCGCTTAACCCCCTCCCCTAAACCACCAACATCCCAGACCCTCCCCCGAAAACCCAGCCAACCCCTCCCCTAGACCACCAACGATTCCAGCCATCTTCACCCATACCCCAACCCGAGACCACCTACCAAACTGAACTGAAACCACCACCCCATCACCCTACCTGAACTGCGACCTCAGCCACCTTCACCCGTACCTCCACCTTAGTTGAAATCGATCTCCTCTAATCAGGGAGGAGATCGTCGCGCACCGATGCCGGTGCCGGTGATGTGGTTGGGGGCTGGGTGGTCGGATCCGGTGCTGGGTAGAGGGCTTGGTGGCCGAGGGTGGGGGTTAGGCCGCGCCGATGGGGGAGGGGAGGGGGCTGGTGGGTTAGGCAGTGGGTTTTTGTTCTTATTTTTTTGTTTTTTTTTTTTTTGTTTTTTTTTGTTTTTTTTTTTTTTACCAATCACAGGCCGTCACGTATCATGTAACCTGTTATAACAAGTTACATGACCGGTTGGGACCAATAAAAATTAAAGGCACCCAAAGGTCGGATTATTAAATAATAATCGAAAGGTGGGATTATTAAAAAAGAATGGCCCAAAGGTGGGATTATTCCCATGAATTATTTTTAGATTTTTTAAGATAAAAATGTTGTATATATACTTCTACTATTTCATATATACAAAATTAATCATAACTTTTAATAAATATCCTATAACTCGGTTTTATTTCCATCATAAAATTCGTTTCAAAAAGTTCTTTAAAATAAGATCCATTTATAATATATTTAATTTAGTAAAAAAAAATAATAGAGATCAACAAAAATAAGTTTTAACCAGTAAAAATAATTTTGGTTTGGTAAAAATACTTTCAATTCAATAAAAATAATTTAAGTTCCATAACAACAATTTCAAGTCAATAATAACATAGATATCTATATACAAACAAAATTACAAAAAGTATACTATTCTATAAATAAGCGATTGGATATTGTATGTCTATATATCCTGCATTATCAAAAGGGATTACATTACTGTATTAATAAATATTCAAGCCAAAAAGTTTATCCTAAAATTTTATCAACAATTCGGGCATCACCCGGGCACAAAACTAGTCACTAAAAAATAAAGTCGGTCTTGCAACCAGGATACGAGACAGCGACACTTGGCATTTTAATTATTCGCCAAGTGTCGCACCACGTTGGCGAAAACAAGGTATTATTGTGACACATATGATGCTAAGTAAGCGAGTCTTAGATAGATTTGTTAAAATAAATTGTTACATAGAATTGATAAAATTTTGTAAATATTTCATATATACAAAATTAATCATAACTTTTAATAAATATCATATAACTCGGTTCTATTTCCATCATCAATTTCGTTTTAAAAAGTTCTTTAAAATAAGATCTGTTTTGGGTAAAAATACCCAGGCCACGTGGCCCTATCAAAGGGTGACACATGTCACCTTAGGAGAGTCACCTTAGGAGAGGTTTAAAATGAACCAATCCCCAACTAACACATGGCACTCCCAATTAGTAGGGAAAAAGACGGCCTAAAGGGCCCAATTCCTGAGAAAGCCGCAAAACGGCGCGGCCCACCAAATCTATGTCAGAATGACCTAGGTAAAGGCTCAATTATTACACAAAATCAATTCTCTAAAAAACAAAGAAATCACCTGATCTCGAAATCCGAGAAGATCTACTTTTGTCTTCCGCACTCTTACATCACTCCGAACACTTTCTAACTTGATCGTCTAAATGGGGGAAATCCGAACACCCGGAGCTTCCATTGTTTTGCAAGTACAGCCGGCGGGAAATCAGTCTTGGTGACGTAACTCTCCCGAGGAGCAAAAAACCCTGAAACATTTGGCGCCATCTATGGGGAGAATACCTCTAATATGGTTTCTCAAGAGACTGTACCGCCTCCTAAGGATAAGCAGCCTACAGCTGAGGTCTATTCAGACCATGACACGGAACCAGAGGTTGAAACATATACGGCCGCAAATGGATCATTCATTACCAGGCGCATCCGTTCCAAAGACAACAAGGAACGGAGCGATGCTTAGGCAGGTCCGAATAAGACCTCCGGCCAGCCCCATGCGGTAGGACAGTCTGCTCACATCACTCGAGACGAGCTCATGAAATTCATGACAAGTTTCAAGGGAGAGATGAAGGACCTGATTTCCAAGAGGATGGCTGGTCTCAGCAGGGGTCAGTCGGCCAAGAAGCCCTCTCGCTCTGAGAAGGCTAAGTCGGTCAAGGACAAGGAGCCCACTCCGCACCCAAAAACAAAGGAGGGGACCCGACCTTTAATTGATTGGACCAAGTTCCACCTCTCAGAGCCGGGGAAAAGGAATGCCATCCGGCATACACAAACGGATGACAGCAAAAAGATTATTCTGATGCTCGAATTATTATTGAGCTAAGGAGAAACCAGCATCTGTCTGACTCGACTTCAATGTCGACGTTCCCAGACAGCTTCCCCTCAATGAGGTATTCTCAATTTGTACAAGAGAGCCTGTCAGGAGACCCGTCCGTCCATACAGGTCCTCAGATGATCAGCTCGGGCCCATATGTGCCCTAGTAGCCATACAGGTCGTATGCCCAGCCTCACATGCAACCTGCTCTCTTCGGGGGTCAGGCGGCATATAATGTCCAGCCACTGGACTAGCAGTTCTGTCTGCTAAAACTTGGGGAACAACCTTTTGTGTTCTCCAAGGAGATAACCGAGGCGGCACAGCCGGCCAAGGTTAAGATGTCATGGTGGGTACTTATGATGGCACCACCAACCCAGAAGACCACCTGTTGGCATACACCCACCTCATGTACTTTTAGGGGTTGGATGACGCCGCACGGTGCAGGTGTTTCCCAGCCACGCTGAAGGGCATTGCCCAACAGTGGTTCGACAATTTGCCAGCTGGGTGCATCAACAATTTTAGAACGATTGCGTTCTTGTTCGCCTCAAACCTTTCCATGAACATATCCGCCAAAAAGATAAGCCTTGACTTGGGCGCGGTACAACAGGGAGACAGGGAGGGGCTCCACTCATATGTCAAGCGGTTCAATCTGGTGAGAATCCAGATCCAAGTAATGTTTAAAGGAGTTGCTTACACAGACTTCTTCAAGGGTCTAAAAGACGGGTCGACCTTCAAGTTCGACCTCGTCCCAAAGAGTATATCCACTCTTCAAGAAGCACTGATGGAGGTGGAAGCCTATATACAAGCGACCGAGCTCTGCTCTACCTTGAAGTAGTCGGACTCAAAGAAGTCCGACCAACAAAAAGGGAGTCGGCAAGAAGAGAAAAGAAATTTGGGTGGTTGAGGATTCTGATCAGTCGTCCCAGAAGAAAAAGAAAGAGTTTAAACCGCACTTCCTAAAGTACGAGTTTAACAAAGACTACAACTCCATCCTCATGGAGATAAAAGACCGGGTGACTATTGAGAAGCCCGCAGAAATGAAGGTTCGGCCAAAAACCGGAATAAGGACAAGTACTGCCGCTTCCATGAGGATATTGGCCATGACACCAACTGTTTCGGGGTTTTCTGATGTCCTGCGGGAGAGTTACAATTCCGAGACTGGAACCGGACGCCTGTACCTGCAAAACAACGGAGACTCCTGGTGGTGGGAGCTCCGCCTCCAACGGTCAAGTTAGTACTTGATTAAGGAGTAATTAATGCGGAAATTAAAGTGATTAGGTCTCTCTAGGTGAGAGTGTTTAATGTGAGTTTTTAGCGTAATCAGCCTGTAACTCTGTGTGTAATCAATGTGTTTTTTCTGTAATCCCCTCTTAATGAGGATTAAGGGAGGTATTTATAACCTTGGGAAACGTGTCAATCCTAGGTTTAGGTTAACCTAGGGCTGATTGGGCTTCCCTCGGAAGTTGGGCCTAGGTGGCCGGTTTCTCCATTAGGCATGGAGTATGCCACGTGTCATGACATAACAGGTCCAAGGTGGACGAATAAGCGTGTGCCACGTGGAATGCCCTGACAGTTCCATCTGGGGGACACTTGGCAGGACCTGATT